ATTGCTGGAGCAGGTTGTTGAGGTCGCTAGCACGGTCTCGGTGGAAACCGTGGTTGTCGAAGTGGAACTGGCGTTACTAACTTCCGTCAAATTCTCCAGTGCGGCCCGGCCGAGAATCATCTCTCCATTGTTCAACGTAAACGCCGTGTCGCCATCCACGCACTCCGAAGACCCGTTGTTCTTGACCTGAAAGCCGCAGCAGTATTGTGCATCTCCGGAGCTGTCTGTGCCGATTCCGATGATGGGTGCGCCGCCGCTAGGATTTTTATTTACTGTTTGGTACGCATGTAAGTTGATGCACGGTGATAGGTACTAGGTGGAGGGAAGGAAGCGAGATGACTCACCACACTGCGTCGGACAACCACTACCCCAGTTTTCGTCCGTACAGGAGCCCCGGAAAAAGACATAGGGCTGGGCTCCGACTCCGACGCAGTAGCCATTGGACATGCAGATCGCATCGGCGTCGCAGCAATAGGTCGTGTCAGCGGACGTACAGGGGACGTTATTGTTGGCGACCGACTTGTCGGGGTGGTAGCATGTGCGGGCGGAGGAGAGAGAGATGAAGAGGGTAAGTGTGAGTGTGAAGATGAACATTGTTTTCGCAATCAGACTATAATAAGCAGTATTATCGTAGGGTGGTAGGATGATATGTTCGCTCAAGGAGATTTTGTGGCATTTTGGCCAGGAGAGTGCGCAACGCTGTTTACGAGCGGCTGGATGGGCTGATAAATGTTTTGCAGAAATCCTGCCTTGATTGTTGAGGAATCAAACTAGGCTTAGGGATAGTGTTCGTATTTCTTGGCTAGTCCGTTGGTTAGACGAGTGGGCTTAGAGCCTAGGAGGGCTCTATACTAAATCTCGTTATCCCGCTGGACTAGTCGCGGCTTAGAGGGTAACATGAAAATGCGCACCAGTAGCGCTAGTCATTCTTTGAATTGCAGAAGAAACTATGCGTATTTTGCATGCTTCATCAACCATTGGAAAGTGTCTGAGTATCTTGGTGAAGGGCCCTATGAAGAATGCGGCGTTGCGTCCAGAATCTGATGACAAGGCTTAAATCAAAGTGCAGAGCTAGAAGCTTACTCTAATCGAAACTTCGAAATAGTTACCGCGAATAAGGTCGGATGACCCAAATCCTTCGACAACTTTCGCAGTCTTAGCGCGGTCTCGGCTCAAGAGTGGGGGCCACGCAGAGTCATGGTGCGGGTTGCAGTGGCCACATTCACATATCAGGGCTTCATGAGTCCACGCTGCGGTGTATGAAGGATCGCCTGGATGCGTTTTCCATATTGCCCATACTCTGTTTTCGTGTCCGATTGCTGCAAGCCCAAGAATATACTTTATTGATTGACGACCATGTTTTCGGTGAGGAGTTCGAGAAGCATTAATATGGAAGTAAATCAATTCGAACAGCAGCTGGAGATTGATTAAACGCACTTGAGGCACTCGTTCGGTGGTAGTCCGAAAGAAGGTGGTCTCCAGGGGAAGATCCCGTAGATCGCTTGCTGTCAATCAGGTGATCAAGCCACGCACCATTCTGTGGAGGATGGCTTCACTTCCCCTTTTCTGCTTTTGACCTTATTGTCTCCAGTCGGCCGTTGTGATCGAAACCAGCCACGATATCTGTTTTGCGACTTCATAATTTGTCCGACCGTTATGAGCTAGTGTTCGCCATTAACGTCTTTGCATTCATCTACCATATTAGTGGAATTATTTGCGCCCGTTAATGATGCACGATCGATATATGGTGTAAATCATCGCAACCGTGTACCACTCCCCTGGGTTCATAATGTTGCACAAATCAGCTCACTATTGATCTGAGGTTGCACAATTGATCCAACGGCGTCCAGAGATGAGGGAGCGCGCTTTTATATTATTGCCTATAACCTCTGATAGGAAGAGATCGATAGTGAACAGAGAGGGCTGATCATCGTGACCTGGAAATGAAAAGGAGGAATTCGAATCTGATTATTGACGTTAGGCCATCAATAAGGAGCACGCTGCATTCAGGAGAAGATAAGGCTGGTTCGAATGTAGACAGTGAATGCTGACAGGTCTGCTGCAGGCCGAGGACGACAAATTTGGCAGAATCTGATGACTGCTCATGATCCCCCAAGAAGTGGAGTGCGTTGATGACGGATAACGGCTGCCAGCGTTGAAGCAACTGTGGGATAATTACAAGGCGAGAGATGCCTTTGAAAATCGGAACCATGGGCGATGACTACTTGATGAAGACCTTGACTGGCAATGCTGGGCCCTTTGATATGATTGCTGGATACACGTATCAAGACTCCATACTGGTGAATAAGGAGATGGGGGAATCGGAGAATTAGTAGGCCATCATTACAAATGGCGCTAACGCGCTCGACGAGCGCAAAAGAAATTAATAGCTCGCCTATCCCGCCAAACAATGCCACATTGTCCTATAATCAGAGCCACAGCGCGGAGAAATCCAGAAAATTCTTTATCTTCACACTACCAACTGAAGAACCCGAAAATGAGTCTGAACTGCATGAAAGTGGAGTGGTTCGGCAGTATGAGGATGCATCGCGTCTGGAAGTTGATACATCCGATCCGTGCGGTGCCTGGCAAACCTTATCAGCCACGCGAGATGGTGCTGTGCCACGGATTCAATTGGCTTCGATACTGCCGACTCTTACCAGGTTTTCGGCAACCTGTGAAGCAAGGGCTGCAACGCACAGACAAAGCTGCAACTACCGTTCCTCGTTAGCCTGTCAGTCTATCACTTGGCAGGGGGTTCAACGGTGTCTCAAGTGACTGATACATGTCGAATCCGAGTCCAGAGGGTCCCCCTCTTGGTTGCCTTGGGGTCCCTGCCATCTCTCCTACAGGGCGAACCGACGTACGGAGCAAACACCCCTTCGTGATCTTCAGTAGCCCTGGGCTCGGTATCTTCGAAAATGGACATACGGTGCTACCTAGTCCCCTCTTCGAATCCCTGGCTGGCCTGTCATTGGCTCTGCCCTGGAACAGGATGTGATGTATAGACACCGAATGTGCAGCCCCATGCAGATCAGGATACATCCAACGTCCCTTAACAACCAGCCCTTCTCCCTACCCAAAAATAGTCCTGTCAGAAAGTACTTAATGGGTTCGTTGGTCTGCAGTTTGCCTCGATTCCAAATACCAACAGCCACGAACTATCAATTACTTGCAGTCATTACCGACCCATACTCTAACCTTGTCTGTGCCCATAATGTCGCTAGAACAAGTGTCAGGTGGAGGCACCGAGGGTGACTTTCAGCACCCGAACGAGAACCTACGTCGGTCAACCATTATTGCACTTTATTTTGCTTTTATTATGTCCACAGTTGCCGTGGCCCTACGCCTTCTCGCGAGAAAGATCACTGGGTCACGGTTGTACTTGGATGACTATCTTATGATAATAGCTTTGGTATGGTCATCACTTGTATCTCTCCTGGGGTTCATGCTAACATGTACCTCAAGCTCTTCAAATATGGCTGTTCAATCGGTGTCACAATCCGTAAGTTATCCTCGCCCAGGAATGCCCACAATATGTCTAACCGTTACAGTTCTATGGAACGGCCTTGGATGTCACATCAACATGATCCCGCAAAAGAACCTGACGGTTTACTTTAAAGTTCGTATCTACAAATCCCCTTCCCATGATGATCACTAACCACGAACAGATCGGATGGTCCAATTCCTTCGTTTACACTCTCTGCGTGATGTTCATCAAATTGTCTATCCTGGCAGTCTACAAGCGGCTATTTGCTGCTCGGAGCATGAAAATCGCAGCCAACATCGTTGCCATAATCGTTGTCCTCTGGGCTGTGAGCATCAGCATTGGCGGTGTTCTGAACTGTGTGCCGGTTCAGAAATTCTGGGATCGCCCGGTCCCAGGCCACTGCGTCAACACCGTGGGCTACTACTACGGCCAGCAGATCCCCAACATTCTCACAGACGTGGTTCTGCTCATCATGCCGCTGAAAAGCGTCTGGGAACTACCCATTTCCAAGACTCAGCGGTTGTTGCTGTCGGGAGTGTTCCTGGTCGGAATTCTGTATGTCCCCCTCCCCTCCAAAAAAGCAAGAAAGTATCTCGTACTAACCTAACCCAGGACCCTAATCTTCGACTGTCTGCGCCTAGTCGCAATGATCCAGCTGACACAAGCCGGACCAGATATTACCTGTGAGTACATAATAGTTCCTCTACCCACCCATCAAAGCGCTAATGAATCCCCTAGACAACCAAGTCCCCGTCGTCGTGTGGACATGCATGGAGGCAGCAGTAGGAATCACAGCGGCATGCATGTCTCACATCCGGCCACTGTTCAACCTCAAGCTCTGGTCTCGACTCCGATACTCCGACCAGGAGCCTGGAAAGGGTTCAACCAACTCGTCGGAAGAGGGTTTCTCTTCTTCCGACCGAACCCTTTTTGATCCTTGCGGAACCCAGACTACCATTTCCGCTGGCCATGAGGTGCATGCTGAGCATGAGAAGCCTTGAGGTAGTCACTCCTGGCTACTGCTGTCGAGCAATGTCAAAACCTAGGTCTTATTGTCATGTGTGAGGATCAATGTGTTGGTCATGTAATGGCTCTAATCTCTGACGCATCTTTTTCTGCATGTCTTATGTTACGATTGAGGAAATTTTTAATATTCGTGAGATGTATATAGTTAGTGGATTATTAATGCACAATTTTATACCCATATCTTAGTACTTACTTCTTTGCATATTAGTGTGTATAAGCTGAAGGGAACGACAAGCAAAACATGGTCGCATTAATTAGCCTCTTGATGTTAGAAAAAGTCAATGACCGATCTCGAAAAACTGCAAGTCCACGACCTAGCTCCCAGTTACTCCTGCTTCCTGCCTCCTGACCCCAAATTCTCCTTTCCCCAATGTTTCAACTCCCTCCCTTACTTGCAAATGACCCTAGAGTTGAAGATCCCCCGCTTTAGTTTCACCCGCATCACCCCCTAGCATGACCGAACAACCCCCATCAGACAACCCCATCACCAGCCACCCTGTCCCTCAACCGCCCTGAGAAGATAGCACGCACCTCCTCATCATGGAGCTGACCACCAGTAAACCAAGAATAACTCAACGCATCCACAGCACTTATTCTCATCTCAGGCTGTAACCTCAACATCGCCCTGACAAGTCCCATCCCCCTTTCTTCCATCCTAGGCATCAGTCCCCACAAGTCCTGTTCCACATACAGTGGAAAATCCGCGCGATACTCAGGCAACCTCGACACACCCCTCCACGACGTCTCACACGGGGTCCCCATGACCTTAAAAATCTTCTGCAATTGGTCCTCATTATTCGATCCGGGGAACAATGCCCGGCCCATAGACATCTCCGCGATAATACATCCAATGGACCAGATGTCGATGCTCGTGCTGTAGCTTCGACTCCCTAGTAATACGTCTGGCGCGCGGTACCACAGCGTGACGACTTCGTTGGAGAAGGTGTTCACCGGGATGCCAAATGCGCGGGCGAGACCGAAGTCTGCGAGTTTGAGCTGGCCTTTGTGGTTTACCAGGAGGTTTTGGGGCTTGAGATCGCGGTGGAGAATGCGGTTCTCGTGACAGAAGGCGACGCCGCACACGAGTTGGTTTGCGAAGGATTTGATGACGGAGGGTTCGAGATGCCCGCCGTTGGTGTCCATGTAGCGCTTTAGGTCTTTGTCCATGTATTCGAAGACGAGCATGAGTCTGTTCTCAGAGTGGATGACATCGTGTAGGCGCAGGATGTTCTCGTGGTGGAGCTCTTTCATGAGAGAGATCTCGCGGATTGCGGTCGAGGGTGTGCCTTCTTCGGTGTCTAGGGCGATTTCTTTGAGTGCCACGAGCTCGCCGGTTTTGGTGTTGCGGCCTTTGAAGACCTATTTCAGGGCTGTTAGGTGGTGGTGGGGGGGATTGACGGTGTGGGGTTGGGGTACCGTGGCGTAGGTGCCTTCGCCGAGCTGGGGTGGTTAGCGGTGGTTCTGTATGGGAATGTTGCTGGGGGTTTGGTGGTTGTAGCGCTTACCTTTTCTAGCTGTTGGAAGGAGTTGGGTGATGTTCGTGTCATGGTGGTGGTGAGGGTGTAGCTTTTGCGGAAGTGGTGGGTGATGATGGTGGAGGATGAGTTTATTGGGGGTCTGCAGTAGTTGAAGGATCGACTGCAGAGAGTCTGACTGTCAGGCACAAACCCCGCCAAGTTTCCCTGCCGATGACATTGCCTGTGCACCGGAAGTCTCCAGGTCGATAAGGTAACTATGGCTAATTCATTAGGCCCACGGGTTGCGGAAGATGATGGGCTGCGGAATGCCATTCATTGGTGGACGGGAACTGGTCGGAGGCCTTAGCTCAGGCTGGGGTGAAGGGGAGTGTGTATGTCGGCTGACGAGTCCGTAGAGGGTCGGAGGGCTCAAGCTACGTTGTATATACTGAGGGAATTCTACAGCAGGAACAAGTATGGTGGTATAGTGGATTGGTGGTATGATAGCAATATAGTAAGTACTACTTGGTAGAGATCACCGAGATGGATGTCAATCGCCGAATGGGGAGTGGACCTCGGTACTTCCCTTTTGGGTATCGCCATGTCCGATCCAAGGGACAGTACCTTTCTGATTCTTATTTTTTGGACGATGGCAAGCCAGTTGCATCATTCGGTGCCGGCAGCGAATTAGGATAGTCGTCCCCATGCGATCGTCTGCATTGTCGGTGGAGAGTAACAATTGAAAGAGTAGGAAGATCTGGAGGCTGAGAGGAAGTGTTGGAGTCGGTCTTCTGTCCGAGGAAGGATCCCCGCATTTGGTCTCCATCTCCAGCTTTGCTCCTCGGCTGCTTCTTTTACCTCCTGTTCTCTCCCTGTGTCTTACTCTTCTTTCTTCTTCGTCCCTCTTCCCTCTTCATCTTCTCTTCAATTACTGGTCTTTACTTGGACTTCAATCCCTTCTCTTCTGCCCTAAACATCTTCACTCACCTCTTGCCTGTCTACAACCCCGCATTATGGTCAGCGCCGTTCGCGTCGCCCCTTCGGCCGCCAGCAGAGCTCGCAATCTGCTGCGTACCGTTCAATACACGCATCCTCCATCATGTCCGTGCCATTCCAATCCCAATCACCATCATCACCATCGCTCTCCCACACTATCCGACCATGTGCGTCGTCATATGGCTACCCCGGTCGACCCCTCCCGTCAAAAGGAATATGCCTTTGAAATGGCCGCCTCCAGCATTCGTTTCGGCCCTGGAGCCACGAAAGAAGTCGGAATGGACTTTGCCAATATGAAGGCAAAGCGTGTATGCATTGTGACCGACGAAAATGTCGCCAAGCTGGATGCCATGAAACAGGCGGTGGAAGGTCTGTCGCGTGAGGGGATTGAGTTCACCGTCTTTGACAAGGTCCGGATTGAACCCAAGGATAGCTCGTTCGTCTCTCCTTGCATTGCCTTTCATCAATTGCTAAATGCTAATGATAACAGTGTCAAGGAAGCAATTGCATTTGCCAAACCTTACAACCCGGACGCTTTCCTCGCCGTAGGTGAGTATCGTCCCCAGGTCATCCCTTGATCCGGCTAACGGCGCCAGGCGGTGGATCGGTCATTGACACCGCCAAATTGATGAATCTCTACACCGTCTTTCCCGATGCCGATTTCCTCGACTTCGTCAATGCGCCACTGGGTAAGGGTTTGCCTGTCAATCGGCCGCTGAAGCCTTTGGTGGCTGTGCCGACCACAGCAGGTACCGGTTCGGAGACTACAGGTACTGCCATCTTTGATCTGGTGTCCAAGAAGGCCAAGACGGGTATTGCCCATCGGAACCTGAAGCCGACTCTGGGCATCTGTGACCCGATCAACACACGGACCATGCCGTCGGCGGTCCATGCTTCCTCTGGTTTGGATGTGCTCTGTCACTCGCTGGAGTCGTGGACGGCGATCCCGTACAATGAACGGACACCTCGTCCGACTAATCCCATCAACCGCCCCGCGTACCAGGGTGCGAACCCTATCTCCGACATCTTCTCTCTGCAGGCGCTGAAGAGTACTGTTAAGTATCTCCCCCGGGCGGTTAAGGATCCCGACGACTTTGAGGCGCAGTCCCAGATGCTTCTGGCCGCTACGCTGGCTGGTGTTGGGTTCGGAAACGCAGGCGTTCATCTCTGCCACGGCATGAGCTATCCTATTTCCAGCCAGAACCCGGGCTATAAGCATGTAGGTTACTCTGTGGACCACCCTATCATTCCCCACGGTGTGTCGGTGGCAGTGACCGCGCCAGCTGTTTTCCGATTCACAGCTGCCTCCAACCCAGACCGGCATCTGGCGGCCGCGGAGGCGTTTGGGGTTGACATCTCGAATGTCAAGCGCGAAAGCGCTGGTGAAGTCTTGGGTGAGGCACTGGCCAACTTCCTGGTCCGGCTGGGCGATCAGCCTCGTGGTTTGAAGGACCTGGGCTTCAAAGCCGGTGACATTGACTCCCTGGTGGAGGGCACGATTCCACAGCAGCGAGTGCTGGCACTTGCGCCGACGCTGAACAAGGAGTTGGAGGCAGAGAGGGCCGAGCTGCGGGGATTGCTCGAAGAGTCGCTGGAGTATTAGCTTAAGTGTGTACATAGCCAATAGTCTGAAATTGCATGATGGTTCAAATGACAGTGACCAGGTGCCAAGTGCACTAATCCTGCAGCTTCCCTGCCAGCGTCCCTTGAGATTGTCGATATTCAACTGAACCAAGCCACTAGTCCAATCAGCCGACCTTGTCATGAAGCGTATCGCATCCCCGCATTCTCACCCGCATTCCTGCAGCGATCCTCGCCCCTTCCTGCTTATATACCCAACCTCGTCTCCATCATCCTCTCTGGCACGCCCTCTCCCCCCTCATCACATCTACTCACCCTCACCATGAAACACCACTACTACAGCCCATCCACCTACCTCTCCATCCTCCCCTTCCTTTTCCCCCTCACCATGTCGCACCCCCAACAACCCCTCCCACAAAATCTCCTCACCACCACATCCTCCGCCGTCACCAAAGCCGGCAACCCCGTCTTCCCGGGCTGGTACGCCGACCCAGAAGCACGCCTCTTCAACGCCCAATACTGGATCTACCCAACCTACTCAGCCGACTACAGCGAACAAACCTTCTTCGACGCCTTCAGTTCCCCAGATCTCCTCACTTGGACCAAACACCCCACCATCCTAAACATCACGAATATCCCTTGGTCGACGAACCGTGCCGCTTGGGCCCCGTCCGTGGGCCGCAAGCTCCGCTCTTCTACCAACGCAGCAGCAGCAGCAGCAGCAGCAGCAGCAGCAGAAGAAGAATATGACTATTTCATGTATTTCTCCGTTGGTGATGGAACCGGCATCGGTGTAGCGAAATCAACCACCGGAAAGCCCGAGGGTCCTTATGAAGACGTCCTCGGGGAACCACTAGTCAATGGCACGGTGTATGGGGCAGAGGCAATCGACGCGCAGATCTTCCAGGATGATGATGGCCGGAATTGGTTGTACTTTGGAGGGTGGAGTCATGCGGTTGTTGTGGAGTTGGGGGAGGATATGGTGAGTTTGAAGGGGGATTATTTGGAGATTACTCCGGAGGGGTATGTTGAGGGGCCGTGGATGTTGAAGAGGAATGGGGTTTATTATTATATGTTTTCGGTTGGGGGGTAAGTATTCCCTTTTTAGGTTTCTGTGTGGTTGATTGGAAAGGGCATGCTAACGCAGCTTTGTTGTTGGGATTAGATGGGGCGATAATTCATACGGAGTCAGTTATGTCACGGCTGATTCTCCGACGGGGCCGTTCTCGAGTACGCCGAAGAAGATTCTTCAGGGGAATGATGCGGTGGGGACGAGTACGGGACATAATAGTGTGTTTACACCGGATGGACAGGATTACTATATCGTCTATCATCGTCGGTATGTTAATGATACGGCCCGGGATCATCGCGTGGTTTGTATAGATCGGATGTATTTTGATGAGGATGGGGAGATATTACCGGTTAATATTACGGTTGATGGTGTTGAGGGGAGGACGTTATCTTAGTTTATAACGACTGACAGAAGTAGATATTCATATGAGAGGAGCGTTGTCGATACAGTAGAACTTAAGATTTCTTAGGCCGAGAAATATACCTGATATATATTTTGAAGATGAAGATCTAGAATTTACTTGAAGCAGACATATTTCTACTGATAGTTTATGAAAGTAAGCACAGAAGGGAAGCATTTCAAGTCATGTGTCACCCGAGATACAAATCGTTGTTATAACTGCATGGAGAACCCTTTCACTGATCTCTCTTTAACAAAACTTATATGAGGTCCTGCTCAGTTGAACATCACGGCGATATACCTTCGAAGTGATGCAGCATGCAAAAGGAAAAGACGATCGAAAATATCAGCATGTGAGTTCAGGTCTTTGAGATCTTCCAAGGGTCCTCGAGAGAATCAGATAAGGAATGAGGAACAGGCAGCTAATGATCCGGTGAAGTGCCTGGCTACGGTGAATGCCACCATAAACCAGGTGCTTCTCCACACTATCCTAGCCTCGACCTACTTTCCGGTATGATATGAACCACAGGCAATATCCGTCCGTTTATCCGTGACGCGACGCGATTCAGTCGAACCAGCCGTGTGAGTCTACTCACGATAGTAACCAGAAGATTCGAAGCTGAATAAATCCCAGGAACATACCTGACCTAGCTGTGCAACCCGCGGAAGCTACATATACCCAGCAAACCCAGACGACCAGTATATAAACCCAATGCATCCTACACCGGCAATCATCTAGCAAAACCCAGCCCCCAAACCCTAGCTCAATTCACAACATACTCCAAAATGTCCACAACCGAAATCAAATACCCCCTCGAGGGAAACACACGAATCGAAATCGAGGTGAGCAAAGTGCTCGACGAAGCCAAAATCCCCAACTTCATCTGGGGTCAAGGCGTGCATCTCATGATGGGCATCAAAGATAGATGGGATACACCGGGTTGGGTAGTCCGCGATCAAGACATAAAACTAGCCGCTCATGTCTTGAGTTGTACCTTCCACACAGGCAAACCCTATTCCGCACGCACCCCCGAGGAAAGAAAAACCCCGACGCCGGGCGAATACTGCTTCGAGTACGGAGTGTTCGGGGTGCAAGAGATCCATCTTCACAAGAAGAGTAGTCGATGCCCTAGTTTCCCTGACCCTCCTTTAGATAACCCCGGCAAGAATGACCAGTATTACATGCTCACTTCGGATAGACGCCTACCGGTATCGCATATTGTCAAGGTGCGCGATATGCCGGAGGAAAGGTACTATTCCGTGAAGATGCCCGTGCCGGCGAGATATGTGGAGAATCTCGTCTTGTTCTGCGCGTGGAATCTGGCTGTGGTGGATATCCCGGACCCTTATTATGATACGTTGGTTTATCTGGCGAGGGGGATGGGGTTGGATAGTACGAATTACTCGTATGTCGAGCCGAAGGAGTTGCAACCTCCGTTTGATAGGTTCATGAAGATACTGGATCATGATGCTAGTAGACATGGCGAGGAAGGCCTTAAGAGGGATCTGTGTCATCGCAGGTCTTATCGGTTCCTGTGTGAGATTCTCATGGAATTGAGGAAGATGAGACAGGTGCAGCGGGATATGGATCAGTCGCTACGCTATTGGCCGCCGATGGAACGGGGGCTGGAAGCTAAATGTGAGGCTATGGAATTGGAATATGAAGATCTGCAGGACCCGGACGAGACGCCGATGCTTCATCATGATTTGGTTGCGGTGTTGGCTAGTAAGAAGTGGAGGTATTCCCCGGTTGAGTGTGCTAGCACGTAGGTGCCATTGACTGGGATATAGTCTATGGCGAATAGCTAGCAATGAAATAAAACTCCTTCCCCATCTATAATTCCAACAGAAGTATACATCACCCTAGAATATAAAGAATGCACCCCAAGATCCTAACCCACTTCCCTCCCCTCCACCAAATCCCACATCGCAACCCTACCCCCTCCACTACTACTACTCCTAAACCACCCCTCCCCCTCTTCCTCTCCGCAAACCCCATCGCCGCATCCCTAATAACCCTCCAGTCCAACACACTCCCCTTTCCCATTACCCCCTTTCCATTCCCAATCCCATTCCCACCATCCTCATCCCTAAATCTCTCTATCGCCCCCTTCACCCAAGAAACACAATTCCACCCCACCTCTTCCTCTCCCTCTACCCCCTCTCCTCCCCCCCACAGGAACCGGAACCCCCCTGAGTATCTAAACCAACCGTCCCCGATCCACCACCTTCCCAATAAGTACCCTTACCAAAACCATCGTGTCGAGCGTGGTACTGCGCTCTTCGAAGGTTCATTTGAAGACCATCCCTGTCCCTGTGGTGTTGGGGGTGGAGATGGGGGTGGGGAGTTCGCGCGCGTGGAAGGTTGTTCCAAAGATCATAGGTTTGGTTTTTGGGGAGGGGTGCTTGTGTTTGGGGAGGATGGTTAGGGACCAGTGATATCTATTTTATCATATCATTGTCCATGTCTTTGGTTAGTGGGCGATGAGGGTAAGTAGGGGAGGGAGTGTGTTGTGTTGGGTAGTGACTACTCACATATCTTCTTTGTCGGGCATCTTGGGACGGATTCCCCCTCCGCGGGCGTGGAGGGAGATGTAGAGGCGGGGTTTGTTTGATGATTTCATCGGTGTAGAGTGTATGAGAGGGGAGATGGTGGAGGGTGGATTGTTGGTTGAGAGGTGGGAGGTTTACAGTAAGGTACTAGGTTTGTGGAAGGTTTGATCTCACATGGATGCCCTACCCCTTGTCATCTAAAGGCTGGGGGGTAGCCGAGAGCTTTGTTTGGGTTCGCTATTAGATCTCGGTTTAATTTGCTTACCATGGAGTAGGTGTTGTGTGTAATGTACTTTGAATTGATGGTTGGTTGAGGTGTATCTACTCTACTGTACCCTGTGTGGCTAATGCTACGAGGAATTCTTTATGAGTACGAATGCAATGTATTGAATCCCATCACCCGTACCTATCGATGTAAATATTGACTGAAAGAAGCGAAGTCCGAGCACAAAAAGGACAAATCTATGTACAAGAAGAAATGCAAACTGGGTATCAAAAACATGTACAGGAAGAAAATCACAACTAAAACATCGAACTCCTTTTCTTGCTCAGCTTCGCCTCATCAGCTGATGAACGTCGTAATCGAAAGAAACTACTTTTCTTAGGCTGTAATGCCGGTGACGATGCCGCCGGTCCTGGTGTCTCCGCTGACAAGGCAAATCTCACGGCTGATTGGCGCCGCGGATCCAAGCCCGGGGCAGTCATGTACGGGCCTGCCTGTGGCCGTTGACGACCGTCTTGATAAGGATAAGAGTAATGGGGCTGGTTGGCCGGTCGTAAGGGGAGAGTTTGTCCGGGCTGCTGGGGACGAGGAGGCAGCGATGGCGTCTGTCTGTGTCTGCGTACTTGGTCTTCTTCTTGTCCGTAGAGCATTTGGAGACGGCGAGTTTCCCGATCGATTTCGGCTTGTCGCTCTGCTTTGCGTCTGCGACGTGCCTTTTCCTCTTCTTCGAGCAGTTGCTGGGTGCGTCGCTCTTCTTCGCGTTGGCGGTTCGATTTAGTGGGCGGCTGTTGTGGTGGTTGTGTTTGTGGTTGGGGTTGCGGTTGGGGCTCGGGCCTTGGTTGGACGGCATTTAATGCTCCTGATGCTGCGGGGACGGAGGGGAGGGGCTTGGAGTTTGTCTTGGTCGGGGAGGGTGTACTCGACATGTGGGCGGGTTTGGTAACGTGGAATGCGTCTTTCATCGAAGTAAAGTATACATCGCGGATGGTAATTGCGCCAAGGAGGAGAACGACTTCGAGGCCTTTGAAGTCTTCCATTTCCACGCGATAGAGGTTCGGTTCGTAGAGGGTGAGTTCGCGGAGCCCCTTGAAGATGGATACGGTGATATCAGGCTCTTTGCTTTTGGTCTTGGATTCTGGAATTGTGGTCGTCTTTCCGGACAGGAGACAGGTCAGGTCTTTGGACAGTTTGCTATCCTTGCGCCAGGTGAAGCGCAGTTTCGGGGTGGTATCGGCAGAGGCTGGGTCAGGGTGGGTGCGGTCGAGAGTAGATGCGGAGGGCTGTCGGAAGCTGTGCTGGGGCATCTCGAAGGTCCATGTCGCAGGGCTGTTCCAGGTTTTGGGCTTGAAGTGCACCGTCACTTGCTGGTCTGGGTTGTAGAGGTTGATGGTGAAGCGGGAAGGAAGAATAGGTTCTGGCGGAGGCGGAACGCCGCCATTCTGACGGATGGCCTCCGCGGAGAGACTAGGTTGAGTCCATTCCGGGATGATCAGGACCTCGCCGAAGAGGATGTCGGAAACGTAGGGGTCGTAGAGGGCGGAGGCATAGCGGTTCTGTGAGGAGGGGGAGGAAGGATCCGGATAGCGGAGGGAGTAGACAGGTTCCGGATCGTTTCCGTGCTGGCAGAGATAGATGCTCCAAAGCTTGGATTGCTTGTTGTGCTTGAGATAGAAAGCTGCTCGGGTTAGCAAGCGACGTCAAGTAGGGGAGTGGAGTCAAGGAGTGCTGCTGAGAAAAGGGAGACATACTGGGAAGGTTCTCGTCTAGCATTTTTAGATCTGGGCCGGATGGATTAATTCAACGGGAATCTCTGCGCGACCCGTGGTCCGAATGCCATTGGGTTTGTCTTATAAGAAATGCGAGGCGAGATGCACGAAAGAAAGGGCGATCCAAAGAAGAAAGAAAGACGTCGAGGATGAGGCCTAGTGTGGCCTCAGGCAGAGAAAAGAGTACGGGGCACTGCCCCACCGCTATAAATAACACCCTCTCCCAGGTACCGCCCGGTATTGCTATGTGCCTTGGCAGGCAATTTAGCTGGGGAGATCCATGGCGGTACGGAAAAGTACCGGCGATCAGCGTACCCAGCAGTAATGGAGTGTACTGTAGGCAGCCATCATCGGATGGTTTGCAGTTTCATATGGTATGCAGACCCCATTCAAGGGTCCCAATCATGAAGGATCTCCGGTGGTGACGAAGCTGCCGATCTCCGGACTATCTCTTAGTCGGTCAAGTCGCACTGCCTCTTTTCGAGCTTCTCTCGCAAAAGAAAAGAGTAAGCCTTGCAGGCAGATATTTTTCGTGCCTTGATATGCAGCGTATCTATCCAACTTCAATCATCTGGATTGCTACATGGGTCCGGGAGCAAGCAAGCAAGCAAGGCACAGCAATCCACTTTAGACAACCATACTCGACCATCAATGGGACTCGTCTTTGCTTCGCCTGTATAACACAGACTACTAGACCCCAGCACCGCGATGAGGTGCGAGTCCATGCTGGGGGCCTGGAGTCCGTTAGCCAAGCAGATAACGCTGACGTACCTCTGTATGGTGACGCGTGGGCAGTCATCGAATGCTCTTGGCTATTAATCAGTATGGTGCTTCGGAATCTGGAGGGTTGGATGCAGATACCAATTGTTTGTTGTTAGGTCTGGTGTGACGTGGAGCCGTGTGTGGTGAACACGCGTGATTTCGACATGAGCTCGCAACAGAGTTACTCGATGCATGATTGTGAGAGAATTACTAGAAACACAGTGCTGGTCAATGGGTGATGCGCTTCGTTGTTGTCTGGAGAAAGATCAGTGATCACTGCTGTTGGGTTCGTAGAACCAGAGGGAGGCGTATCAATAAGATATGGCAGCCAGTATGGTCAGTAAGCATGTCGGTGGATGAATGTCGACGCCACAGAAGACCTGGCATGTCTATGTGAAATACGAGCCCAGTATATGCATCAGAAGAATCAAATTGTCTTTGAAAGACCATCCATTCATGCCCAATGAATGCTATGCGATGACCATTCTTATAGATCTACCTGCAGTCGATTATCTATGCACTCCATTGTACAGCTCTGACAACGAGCATTGTTTCGTCATTCTGGGTAAAAAAGAGCAAGACAAAGAGCAATGTGGTCAACTCATAATCCAATGCTTCAGATCTTTGATCTAAATCTGTATATCGGCATCTCCACATCACGCTCTATACTCTACAAAGAACTGACAACAAGGGAATCTATACTCGAACACCATCCACCTCTGTACCTTCCGGCACCTTGGCTGCCTCCCGCTCTGCAATACTCAGCTGCAAGCCTTGGTCGTCCCATCCCTGAGTACCTTTCTCGTACAGCGTCTTCTGCTGCTTGCGGTCTGGCATGGGTCCAGACTTCCCGCGTCGCTCACGCGATTCAATCGTCTCCACCAGAGATGCATTGTCTCCGTCCAGTTCATATCCCTCGAGGTCATCTGTGTGAACTTCCTTTGTGAATTCGAACGTCCGGTACTCGGCGTTGACCCATCCGGTTCCTATTTCATCATTAGCCTTTGTCTACACTTGACACATGCAGTCTTTAGAAAACATACCCTGGTACTGGCTGCTATCCTCCCAATCTTCGGTGAAGTAATGCAGGAAACCTCCGTGGGTGACTATCACAATCTCCTTCTCCGGTCGCGCCTTCAGCCAGCGGCGGGCTGCCCGCGCCCGCTCCTTGATGGCCTTGTGAGTAGGTGCATATTTGCCTTGCTAAATGGTTATGCCACGACACTAGTCAGCTGAACCGAAACTATCGCCACTTGGGTAGAAGAACAACCCACCTTGTTGTTCCAACCATCATGCACCAACCCCAAGTCAATGGGAACGTTCTTCTCCTCCATCTCCTTGCGTAGCACCTCCGGGTCACTTCCCGTGTCGCAAGCCACATCACTCGTTTCCTGGGCATCAGGAAGAGCGATCAGCTTCATGTCTGGGTGTGACTGGAACACGGGCTCGAAGCTCTGCAGGGCTGTGTAGATAGTGCGACGGAGCGGGGAGGCCGTGACGAGGTCGACCTGAGTGTGGCGAGGAAAGCTATCGCGGAGTTTACGACATTGTTCGTTGCCGAGATCGGTGAGAAGGGGGTCGGGGATGACGTGGTTGGCGACGCAGAGGTTGTGCTCGCCCTAAGAGAAATTGTTAGCGACCGCGTCGGTCGGGGAGAGAGCCGGTGGATATAAAGGCGTACCTGGGCGTGACGGACGCAGTGGATAATGGGAGGCATTGTGTTGGTTGCGGCGACTGTTGACGGAGGGAGGCGAGTTAGCAGGAAGAAGAGCGAAAGGGCCGGAGGAGTCGAGGAAGGGAAGAATGGAGCACAAACGTGGGGTAGCGGGGCTCGGTGATGGACAGGGTGCAAGCTGCAGTCCTTTAGCGTCTGTTGAACGGGACTCCGTGCACGATATTCTTCCTGGAGGGATTCTGTTCAGGCTGTCGAGGACAGACGGTCGGTATATATGGGTCCCGCGAAGAAGGGCTGTCCTAAGTCGTCTGCCAATCCAAGCGGACCACTGCACACCGTGTCGCCCAACCGGTCAAATCCCTCCATCGCCATGACTCAAATGGGGGGCGAAGCCATCCGGAGCAGTGATTTCTTGCCCAGACCCGAGGCGTCCGGTCAGCGGGCTGATCACATGGATATCAAAGATTTCAGAGAGAAAACAGGAAAGAGACAATTTGATCTCCGATGATATTCCAGAGATAGACCGGGAGGGAAGAGCGAACGGAAGTCGAACTTGGCTGTGGCTGTTGTTCCTCAATACCGGCTGCCCGGCAAAGTTGCCCGACCGACCACTACTATATCCACCAGGCAACTCGGGCGACTACTCTCACCATCTACAATACATTTTACCTTTAGAATATTGGGGAAGAACGACCGCTCCGGAAATCAATTCGTCCATATGTCAGATGTGGCACCGGCCACAATCGGACTAATACTATCTATGTAAATTTGGGCATGTCACGCACGGCATATACAGCAAAGGGTATGTCCATTCCAAAAACCGAGACCATCCAAACCAGTCCCCGAAATCAAGCAACGCCAAAGCCCCGGGCGTTCTCCAACGCCTTGCTCAACTTTTCCTCTAGGACACTACGGGAGGAGTATTCCGGCAACAGGAGGCGTCCGAAGCAGGTCAGACTTGTGGGAAGGCGCTGCAACAAATTAGTACTTTTCCCGACAACATTGAAACGACATCACTTACAGCATCTCCTACTCCGTTCTTTTGAATCACAAACATGATGCTCGCGATCCCATTAACCGGTACCCGATCGCTGGCAGTGACAAACTCCAACAGCTGCGCCTTCTTCTCGGCTGGGTACCGCCGTACAACACTCCAGAAGTCCCTGATCACCCGGTGGCTGGGGTCAAACCCACCCTCATACCGCGCGTGACGCTCCAACTCCCGGATGTCAATGGTCTGAATTCCCTCTATCACAGTCTTCAGTGCCTCCGGTGTGAAAATAGAGAGGGCAGTCCGGTCGAGGCAGGTGTAGAACCCCTGAGCAAACGCCTCGAACTGAGGCCGGACAGACTTATCGGTTAGCCAGAAGATGTAGTCCTTGACAAACTGGGCACGGTTGCTGTTGGTCACCAAGCTGGCCTCCTCGGCGGGAGGTGTTGGCGACTGGGCTGGGACAAGCGTGTCAATCGGTTTCGTGGCTTCCCCGTAGGAGCCCGCTGTCTCTGCAGCCATCGAAGACGGGGGGCTGAGGTCGGCGTGATCAGCAAAATGGCGGACCTCTGACCATGGAGGCGAGTACCCAAGGGACCGCGACCCGCTCCTGGCACGGGATGGCGTGGACGACACAGGCCAGGGAGCATCTTTGTCCACCTTTTGCATGTCGACTGTTTCTACAGCCCCAAAGGCCTCGAAGCTAAATTCGTAAGTCCGCATAAATATGTCGCCCACATCTCCATCCTCCCATGTAAGTAGATCTCCCAATCCCTTGCTGAGCTCTGGCCATCCGTCCTGGATGTGCTCTAGGTGCTTCACCTTGAGTCCGAGTAGCTTGCGGTAAAAGGCAGTCGGGAAGTTAACCGGGAGCGTGAGACCATTATACACAGCCAGAGACATGAGGAGTCCAAGCAGCTCGAACTTGTACAAGGGCTCCCACGAACACGGCTGGAACCATGAGATCCGCGTCCGCGCGTCCGTCGTGAACATGCCAAAAGACGGATCCAGTGCTTCTGCCATCAGAACTCGGAAGAATTCCTGTTGAACACCACCGTGGTCAAGGCCCTCCTCGCCTTCATCCATACCCATTTGTACCTTCAGTGGCCGCATAAGCTCTCGTCTTTCGCGGCGCCAGAGCTGATTGAGAGCATCCATAAGAATATTGTCGCGCCGAACCATCAGGACCAGATATGTAGACATTGACGTCTTTAACTGTGCGAGTAAGCCGACATCATCCTGAACCTGGATGGGTCCAAAGGCCGTTTGTGTCACGTGTCTTGTCGTAGTCATAGCGGCTTCGTAGTACTTGGACATGGCCGCGTAGTTGAGAGCTCGGAAATAGATCACCAAAGCTGAAGGAGGGAAAAGGAAAGGATAGGACAATAGATGCATTGTCTTGTTGCTCGGAAGCCTACCCATCCACTCCACAGGCATGTCCAAAGGTTCCAACCTGTCGGAGAGAAACGGGGTGTGGAAGTCTTCGGGAACCAGGCCCAAACGGCTGCGCTCCTTGTACAACAGGGACAGAATCTGAACAGCACCTCCAGCCGAACTGCTTTTCGACAGTTGCGGGTTACCATCCCATTCTTTGAGGAGAAGGGTGCGAAGCCACTCAGCAATGAAAGCAGGCGCGCCAGGAGGGGGCGTATGATCCAAGTCGCCAATGGCCGCTGTCATTGCCCCGTAATGCTCGCTGAGATTGTCCACAATCAGATCCAGAACGCTACTCTTACGCTGTTTTGGCAAGTCGCGGGAGTACACCTGTCGCGCTTTTGATATTTCGTGGAACGCCAATCGCGCCGTGAGAGCGCGTACTAAGCGATCAAGTAGCCGGAGGGCCAGCTCATGCTCGAGCATATCAGTTGTTTCTACCACAAGACGGGCCCTGGGTATCGAGAGCTTTTGCATGTCTGAGCTCGTAGATACGCCCCCGGCCGCGCGCATTTGGAGAATCGCTCGCCATGTCGGTGCATCTATCTCGGGAAGAGAGCTAGCCAGGGCGAAAATGGCGAGTGTAGCAACATCAGCAGCATTGGCATCAGTAAAGTGCTCATTGCCCTCGGAATCGGATCGACGAATGATCGGTGCGCTGGATGCGGCGTTCGTCGAGTTGCTAGACGAACGGCGGGAAAGTTTACCCGACATTGAAAGCTCCTTTGGTGGGATGAATAGTGTCTCCGTAGCGCTCCAGAGACTGTGAAAGACAATATCCCGGGGGCAGATGTGGAGTAACTTACGGAGCGATGGTTGTAATTGTTGGAGATCAAGCTTAGGCTTAGATTGGCCCTCATTCATTCCGGTCGGACCGGCCGATTTCTGGCGGAATGAGAGAAGGAGTTGCTTGGTATTCCCCAATGCATAGAAGACGCTCTGTGAAACGAAGGAAAACACTTCACGCTGACGGGGAGTCGCAAAGCGCCACTCTGACTCCTCGAAGCTCCCGGTGGATTCCATGTACGTCAGCTCGTCCTTCCACAGTTCTGCCTCGTCCTCAGAGAGTATCATCATTTGCGTCATGCCGTCAATTATTTCGTCCGTCAAATGTGATAACGATTGGATACTTGAAATGGATTTGTTCTGACTCGAACTCCGGCGCTTCGGTTTCCGGGCACTAGGAGACTCTGTCTCCGGAGGAGGTTGTTCGTCGCTCTGAGGCTCGGGTTTATCGGATTCGTCGAGCAGGACATTGTTGAGATACTTCGCGCCATCCCATGAAACACGTCGCCCTTTCTTCGGCTGCTCCTGCGGAAGGGGATAATTTCCGTCTGCTGTTCTCCCCCGATGCTTCTGCGGACGATGCCGTAGGGCGGGTGGCGAAGGTACATTGTGCGTTTCATCGCCATTAACGTGTGTGTTCACAGTGAGCTTGCGGGCGGGTTTCAGCTCCTGATATGATTTCTCTTCCAGACTTGTGCGTGGGTTCTGGCGCCACTGGTCCACATCCGTGAGCGACAGTCGCTTAACCTGCTGGTTAGGAAGTTTCAACTCCAGCGCAGCCAACTGACCATTCCCATGGCGCGATGAGGGGGTTTGGGGAGTCGCAGTTGCAGACACAGTATGTTGGGGTGTTCGTTGTCGGTTTAGATTTGGCCTAGGTTTATCCGAATATGGCTGCGTTCCATCGAAATCCGGTTTTGGTGATCGAGACTCGGGACGGGTGTCTATGCGATCTGAATCCGGACCGAGCGAACTTGGAGAGCGTCGTAGAGGTAACCATTCTATCATCCTCAGCGATAGGGTATCGAACAAGTTCTGAGTGAACGACTTCGGGTCTTTCATTCGCTGTGTTGCAGGTGTCTCCTCCGGTATAGCCGCCGTCAGGTCCTGGGATTCCACACATGGAGACAAACTTCGACCATTTCGATCATTGAAGCTGGAAGAATGTACGTTCCGAACCGGTGATGGCCTTAGCACCCCATCCGCGCCAGTATGATCCCCGCTCCGTGACTCAGTACGTTCTCTCGCTGGCTCGTTCGAAGGCAAGGTACGATTCCGTCGTTTCGATCGGCGTTGATACTCCTGGGGTGAAAGCTCATAAGGAACCCGAGAGAGATTGCGACACAAACCGTCCTCCGCGTTATCCAAGCTTGCCAAGTAGCAAGCCAGTGTGCGGGCGCTCAGCTCAGTATACCGGCGGAATGGTCCCTCCGTCACGCGTTTTCGATAGCTAGCGCAAGTTGGCGTCTGACAGCCAGGGTCCTGGCAGCCGTAGAGGAGTTGATTCTTGTACCTAGAAGCGTTCCCGTCAGCGGGGCCAACGCACGCACGGCGTCATAGACGTTACCTGCGGACCAGGAGGTTGAACTGGCGACGGCGTTCATCTCTGCACCATAAAAGAACCTGCGCGGGATCCGAGACGTCCACGGTATTTTGAGCGATCACGTCGGGGGCGTTCGGAGGTAGTTTGGAGCGGTGGAACTGGGGTCGGTCGATGCCTCCATGCGAAACCTCATACGAGCTCACGGAAGCTCCGCGGAGCCTGGTCATCTTGACAGACTGCGGAGCATGCCGCAGCTAGCGATCGAGGGTAAAACAGTGGCTTGACAAAACACCCTCTTTGTTTGTAGGTCTGCGCAGCGAAGATAGGGGTCAAACTCGAGGCGAAGATGATTATGTGACTCGTTATTTCTGGGGTCTGGGGGTCTTGCGAGGCTGATATCACGAGCATTTGGGGGGGGCCTCAGGCGCCAAGACCAGCTCGGGTGATGAGTCAGCCAGTGGGAACACTAGGGAATAAGCTAGTCCCAACCCGGATAGTCCGTTCTTGCTTGTGATCACAGGCTCTCACTTGTATCTACTTTGTTACCTCCGATGTCCCTTTAGCCTTTTATTAGCTATGGTGATGATTCCTGTTACACACTGGATTGCAGAAGGCCTTACTTGGTAATCATGTTCTTGTATTCATACCGTGTTAATCACGGAGGACAAGATAAATTTTGCTGCAGAGGCAAGGGAGCTATCTCCACGGAATAAGTCCGCGCATTGACTGGTGTAAGATAAGTGCAAAGTCCATTATAAACCCTTACATGGGTCTCGACGGGGCTGAAAATGTTGTTCATGCTGTCAGCAGCCAGTGCTGATGTGTGACACATGAATCCCACAAGTCTGTGCTCTGCAGACCTCTCAACTGTCTCGGCTGCTAGACCATGATTATAGGGACATTTCCTACCAAGCTTTCCCTAGCTTTCTGCCCTCTATCTTATGGTGGTCTTGATTATCCTGGACAATGGCATCGTCAAATTATTGCAAAGGCTTTGTCTCGAGACCACCTTTCCAACTGTTAGCCCATATTCTCAAGTAATGCAGCCACGATTGGAACCGCAACACTTCCCCATAATATTACTGCAACTGAGAACAGTATTTGCCAATCTACAATCACTGTCAGACGCAACAGTTGATCATAAAGGAGTGCATTGCTTAATGGCAATATGGCCACCACTACATCGTCCAAGGCCAAAATACAGCATAAAGTATTCCATGACTATTGAAATTACTTATTATGATAGTAAGGGCGGATCGACTGCTCACTATTCCACTTCGCTGCTATTTCAGCCCTCGTCAAAGATCTTGCCACTATTTATATTGCTTGTCCCCTTATTACCCCCCTCAGCTGCGGAAGATATGGTCTAGCTTCTTGGCAAGGCATCTGAGGCATGGTAAAACTGTCTTGATGTAGGAAGTTATTCCAGTATCAAAGGTGGAGTCTTACGCTCTTCCAATCCCAACTTCAACTCTCCCGAGTTATAGTCTGGTTTGAAAGTCCGGTATTTCCAGGTTCTAGTCAACGCCATGATGTTGTGGTGCCCTCTACACTACTGACTGGGTTAGTGACCCCTCATAACATCAGTGCTGAGTTCGATGACCTTAGTGCAAGCGACTGCTGCAAGATACAACGGAGTGAAGCTAGCTAATCTGTTCTGTTCCAAATTTTGCGGGTTAGAGATAATCATGCATGTGTCCGAATCGGACAGTGGACCAAATAACGCAAGAGCGGGTTGCAACATGCACATGTATTGCAACATTAAGTACTTTCAATCTATATATCGGGCTCATATTTCTCGATTCATCCGGCACGCGCAGACTGAGACAAGCCCCCTCTTCAGCCGTATGGGTCTTTTGATCTATATCACATTCGAGGCGTTATGGTCGAGCCATAAACAGGCGATGTAGCGTGCATGGAAATATATTCCGTGTTTTAGCCCCGCAGTTAATAGTAGTATTGTCGGTCCTGGTCTTCCTTAGACAGGGACTAGCTATTTGATTCGAAATACAGCCTCTTTGATCTACTGCATAGCAATCAATCACTTAGTCCCATCCATCATAACCTAGGCCCCTGAATTACCATCTTAATCCCCTCTCCCCGTCTAGCAGCCTCCCACGCCTCCGTCGCCTCCTCAAACGGAAACACCCTCGATATGAAACCCTCGAGCACCACTCTCCCCCTCCTCACAAGATCCACCCCCAAGTCAAAATCCCCAGCTCCATACCGGAAACACCCCTTGGCCACAACCTCCTTCTCACACATCTCGGCAATCGGAAACTCCATCATCCTCTTCCCCATCCCAGCCTGCACATACGTGCCCCCCTTCTTCAGCACAAACACCCCCGTCTGCACCGCCATCTCTGCCCCCGACGCATCAATCACGACATCCGCACCACCATTATCCCTCAATTCACCCTCATTCAGTATCCTCTCAACATCCCCCTCCACCTCCAAATCCCTATCCCTGACCACTCCCCTGCCCACCCCCTCCCCAACAAACCCCCTCGCAAATCCCACCCTCCCCTCCACCACATCCACCGAGACCACAACACTAGCCCCAAACTCCCTCGCCACTGCCGCACAAAACAATCCCACCGTGCCTGCCCCAAATACCACGACCTTCTGTCCAGGCCTCACATCAGCAAGTCTCACAGCGTGAACAGCTACAGCCAATGGCTCTATCAACACCGCTTCCTCTAACTTGATGCACTCAGGCACCTTGTAGCAGAAGTCTGCAGGGACGCGGAAATATTTGGTCAGCGTGCCATGCACGAATGGCGGGTCTGCCGCGAACTTCATCTCCGGGCAGAGGTTGTATCGTCCGCTTTTGCAGGAGGTGCAGCGTCGACAGGGATAGCCGGGCTCGATGGAGACTTTGTCGCCGGGCTGGAGGGTGGTTACGGCGGTGCCGATGGCGTGGATGATTCCAGACGCTTCGTGGCCCATGGTTAGGGGGTGCGTGGGGGAGACGTATGTGGGGATGCCGCCGTGGAGCCAGAAGTGGACCTGATGGTGCGGGTGAGTATGACTTGAGGAATTTATAGGATGAAATGAGATAGATGGAGATTACATCGCTGCCGCAGACGCCGGTATGCTATGCGGATGAGGACATCATGAGGGTTATTGTCGAGGGTGGGGATTGGAAGGTCTTCGAAGCGTGCGTCGAGGGGGCCGTAAAGGAGGCAGGATGGGGTTACGAGTGCTGGGGTCCATGGTAGTTTAACTTGTGTCTGTCCAGAAACCTGGGGGAATTTTGGTATGTAGTTGGATTGGAGTCTGGTCAAATTTGTTGATCAATGGCATTCTTGGCAGTTGATGACCCCGCTTGAGATGTTCATATACAAGCTTTCCATCAAGCGTCGGCGCTCTGTCGGCCGAGGACAGTTAAGTGGATGGTAAGACTGACGTTCGTTGAAGCGCAGTCGGGGCAGATATCCAGCGGCCAGCCGTGCTCCGATAGTCTGATAGATTAACATCCTCTCTGCTTTGGTGATTCTTGTTCTGCTTTTTCTTTGGTCTTCATTTCATAATTCTCTTCCCTGTTAAAGGGTCTCAATAGAGCCCAGTCCAAGTGATACCCATTCTCTACAATTCACGTTTGCCAGTTCTCTGCATTTTCAGCGACCGGTGCAGCCCCTAAGACATAACCAAACGATTCAACTTCGTTTGTATTCGGAAACCCCTCGAGTCCTTCAAAGACATCCATATCAAATGACGTCGCATCAAAGAGCATGAAGGGTCAACAGCAAGTGTATCGAGACGCGTGCCCGTGCTATTATACTCCATTGGTAAAGGTGCCGTGCCCGGGACACTTGTCAAGGAATGCTCCCCTACTGCAGTAGGCGTAGCTTGTGACTGATACATAATCCGGTCAAGTACTTCCAAGCACCGCGCTGCAGCCTGATTCTTCTGGCTCGGATTAGCCAGGCAGTCCCGCGATCTCTCGACTCCAGCAGATTCATTGACATACGCGATCGTGCAGCCATGTAATATCTGGACTCCTCTACCTTGGAGCCACCGGATACCACCCAGTCACCGATTCCCAGAACGACATATAAAATCAAGCGCCATGTGGAGTGAGGTGGTATACGATGGCGGTTCTGGTACTTCTCTCTGAACGTCTTTTCATGTAGAATGGGAAAGGATTTGTTATACCACCCGAAATAGGCGTCAAATGGAGGGTCCGTGAGGATGGCATTATCTAGTTCTCTCAGCATGTGCGGACTCGCTAACTTGGTCGAATCTGCAGGGCGTTGTCCTCTTCGAGCAACCAAAGGAGCAGGATGCTCGGGCAGTAAATCTGAGATGGTCTCCAGTATACATGACCCGGATGAGTTTCCGAAGACTCACCATCAATCTCGACCATACAGAATTTCTCAGGCCACTTACCTAAGTCCCCGGATTCTGCCCCTTCGCTTGGTAGTGATGCCATTCCATCGAGGGCTTGTTTGGCAGATGAGACGAGGTCATTGGACCCTCGTTCCATTCAAAATTCTCCAATGGGGTGGAACTTTTCGCACCAGGGCTTACGCATAGCAAGCTATTGTGGTCTGTTTCATTATTATCATGCCGCTGCTCAGCCCCTGGAGATGCCTTTAATGCTTCTTCGATGTCGATGTTCGGATCCAAATTCTGGGCAAGGGTCATCAACTTCTCACAGAGCTGCTCATTCTCTTCAATTTTCCTACCTACATGCTGAGAGCACGTTTTTATGGTACACAGGAGCCTACACTCACTTGCGAGTCAACAGTGTCCGTGGTGGTACACGCTCGAAGCGACATCGCTTTTTAGTCCTCGAGCAGTAAGAGCATGGGGCTGTTCCAGAATACTTGGCAATATACTATTAGTACGAAAATAGCTAGCAGTTCCTAGATTAGCTCTCAGGGCCATACCTTGCTCTTTTGTCTCTTGGAGCATGTCAGAACTGTAATGGCCACCTGGGATAGCCCTTAGGTATATGTTGGGTTCATTCTTACCCGGCACTCCACACACTACTTCTTGTTAGTCTAACGACAGGCTTCCTGCTAATGTGGCAGACTTACTGCCCGAAGCTCCTGTGTCTCTGATTTTAGTCTCATCCGTTTTGCCATGCTGGTGATTGATTTGTGGCAGGAATGCGTTACATCAACACAAGGTTTATACTCTAGTGATCGTTGTGGTCGGCCCGCAGGCGTCCGAAGACCCCGCTGGATCGATCCACGCAGGTTAGCTTCTGATCTAGAGATGTCAAAGACGCCGTTTTTGAGAGCTTATTTTGACGCTTAAGACGAGCAAAAAGGGTTATCCTGATATCTCACTTCATTACAAAGAGCCCCTCCCTCTGTCAATGTCTAAATTAGTCTTGGATAGCCCTGGGAAGATCAGTGTGATGTACTCCTGGATGCGGTTCTCTGATCGTTCATTCGCCGGTCTATCTATGGACATCTGCCACCTAGCTCACTGAAAAATCTTTGGTAGATACTCGCTCTCTTGACTAACAACCCTCAGATACTTAGCGTCGCAGTCAGTCTTTTGTGAAGAGGCCCGAACGGTGCAATTGCAACGTGATTGGCCGAAATCGTGGCGCTCAAGAGAGAGGATAAAGAAGTCGTGCGTCAGCACTAGCGATAGTGGCCGTTGCTCTGGCATCATGCGATCGGGAAAGAGTGTTTTTCCCCTGATTATATCCAGCTTATCAGAGTAGCATGATATCTCGAAGACACTGCGAATGATTGCTAGATTAGCGCCGTGCAACGCCGCAGAGTTATTACTACTTACTTAGATTTTAGATGTTAGGAATCAGTCCAATGACAGCCCGGGGGCTTACGCATGGAAACCACGAAGGATTTGCTACTAATCAGACTGCCCCCCCCAGTAAGAATCCCATGAGATCCAGGGGTTTTTAAAAGGCGCGACTGCCCAGCCTGGCACTCAGTCAAACTTTCCGAATTACCCATCTTCACAATATTCGACAACGCGTTGTCCGGCACGGTCGCATAGCGCACAGGCCGTTAATTGCAGGAGCTCGTCTCCGCTTCATCTATATCTTTGTGTTTGACAGTCCGGTCGGAAGTCGCCGGCATTCAATCGGCCTGCGTGTACAAATCGCAGGATTCACACAACATGGAGGCCAACTCTCCCAGCTTCGCGTCGCCGCTCGCTAGCGTTCGAGCCAGCAACTTGCCCATTCCCTCCCAATTCGAGGGTGTCGTTGATGCCATCAGCAATGCGAGCCCGTGGACTATCGCCTTAACCATTCTCGCAGTTCTTGTCGCTTATGACCAAAGTATGTCTTTTGATCGCTAATTATGATTCACTCGAATGATCCTAAGACGGCTTGCTTTTCAGTCATGTACCTCATAAACAAAGGCAACATTGTGGGCCCAGCCTTCAAGATACCCTTTATTGGACCATTCTTGGAGTCGGTCAACCCCAAGTTCGAGGAATATTATGCCAAATGGAAAAGTGGCCCGCTCAGTTGCGTGTCCGTCTTTCACAAGTTCGTTCCCCTGGCGCATACGGATCGTTAACATAGACCAGACTAATAAATCCCGGTCCAGGTTCGTCGTGATTGCCTCAACCCGTGATTTGGCTAGGAAAGTGTTCAACTCCCCGACCTACGTGAAGCCCTGCGTCGTGGATGTCGCTCATAAGCTCCTGGGGAAGGAGAACTTTGTCTTTATGGATGGGAAACCACATGTGGATTTCCGCAAGGGCCTCAACGGCCTTTTCACAAGGAAGGCACTGCAGTCTTACCTCCCCGGTCAGGAGGGTGTCTATAATCAGTACTTCGAGCGCTTCCTTGACATCACGCAAAAAGCCGGCGGCAAGCCAGTGCCCTTTATGCCCGAGTTTCGCGAATTGATGTGCGCCGTATCGCTCCGCACATTCTGCGGCTATTATATTTCCGACGAGGCTGTGAAGAAAATCTCTGATGACTATTATCTGATCACAGAGGCAATGGAGCTGGTCAACTTTCCTATTATTCTGCCTTTCACAAAGGCATGGTATGGTAAGAAGGCGAGTGATATGGTCATGGCCGAGTTTTGCCAGGCCAGTGCAAAGAGCAAGGTCTGTATGGCAGCCGGCAAAGAACCCACTTGTATTATGGACGCGTGGGTCAAGAATATTCTGGCCTCAAAGCAATGGGTTGAAGCTGAAGCCAAGGGAATGCCAATGGAGAACATGGAAAAGCCATCTCCTCTGCTACGTGATTTCGCGGATTGGGAGATCGCTCAGACAGTGCTCGCATTCTTGTTTGCTTCCCAGGATGCTACCAGCAGCGCAGCCACCTGGCTCTTTCAAACAATGGCACAACGCCCCGACGTGCTCGATCGAGTGCGTGAGGAAAATCATAAGGTCCGTAACGGTAACGTCCATGCTGAGGTTGACTTGGACCAACTCGAGTCGATGACCTATACCCGTGCGGTCGTCAGGGAGCTTCTGCGGTACCGACCTCCCGTGATCATGGTACCTTATATGGCGAAGAAGCCGTTCCCAATCACTGACTCCTACACTGTCCCTAAAGGTGAGCCTTATAACACGAACCATAGACCTTAGCCGGTGCTAACTAGTGACAGGAGCGATGGTTATCCCCACCACGTACCTTGCCCTCCGGGACGAGGAGGTATACGAGAACCCTGACGAATTCAATCCTGAGCGTTATTATACCGGGGATGCTGAGGAGAAGGGAAAGAATAACTATCTCGTGTTTGGAACGGGTCCACATGTATGCATTGGACAGCACTATGCGCAGCTCAATCTGGTGCTGCTCATCGGCAAAGCCTCGTTGCTGCTGGACTGGAAGCACCACGCGACCCCGCTATCGGAGGAAATCAAGGTCTTCGCAACCATCTTTCCCAAGGTAAGTGACCAGTGAGAAAGCAAAAGTTGCAAGTACTAACTATCGGTCAGGATGACTGCCCGTTGACATTTCATGAGAGGAAGTGGTAAACTAGAGTGACGGTTAATGGAAAAGAGAGGAGGGGCGGACGCTCACTGCCGTTTGACTCGTTTGTACAGAATTCACAATAGTTACCAAATTAGTATATTTAAAGCCAATCTAATTTCCCAGCTATACCTTCCACCAGTCAATTTGCCAAAGAATTGGTATGTGTAATGCTTTCTACTAACTGCCGTCGGTTTGAATTATACAAAACCCTTACATCTTCAGATCTTATCATATCATCCTTATATTGAATCTCAATAGTACTCCGTTATGCAGATATCCCAAACTCCCAACCAACAACTAGAATACCAGACCTCCACCTATCCACCAAATAAGTCTTCGTTAGCTACTATGCCACGACACCTTCCTCGTCATATAAATATAATGGAAAGAACTTACCATCAACCACAATATCCACCCCATTCAGATAACTCCCTCCAACATCACTACACAAAAGCACCACCGGCCCCGTCAACTCCTGCGGCGACCCCATACGCCGCATAGGATTGCGATCAGCCCATACCGCACGATGACCCGACAGCTGATCACCCTCGTTCAGAACCGTATCCATATACCCAGGCGAGATGGAGTTGACGTAAATACCATACTGCGCCCATTCAGCGGCGAGACAGCTCTTCATATGAAGAATACTGGCTTTGGAGATATTGTATGCTAGCTGAGGCTGGGGGTAGTTAACGCGGTGGCCGCTGATAGAGGCAATCAAGACAATTTTTCCGCCTGTTTTACGGGAGATCATGTGTCTGGTTTATAGTTATTATGAGTTGTTGAAGTGCAAGTCTAGGTGACCTTACCTTGCAACAGTCTGCGCCATGATCCAGCTTCCTGTTGCGTTTACGTCTTGCATTCTCTTGTAATCGTCTAGGGTCATGTCGATTGACGGGACGCAGTTGACTATTCCTGCGAAGCAGCATAAGATTCTCAAATCGCCGAGACGGTCTATGGCTGATTGAACTGCGGATTGGACTTCTGCTTCGATAGTCACGTTGCAGGGTATGGTTACGACGTTGGTGTTGGGGAAATCATTCTGAATGGCTGAGATGTGCTCTTTGCTCTTTGTGAGGGATGTGGGTAGGTCTAGGAGAGCTAGGCCTTGTAGACCGTGCTCGAGGAGTGCTCGAGCTGAGGTGAGTGCTAGGGCACCGGCGCCGCCGGTGACTATACACTGCCTTAGCCCATTTGGTTTTTACTCTTTGCTAAGAAAAGAGAAGAGAGACGGCGAGATGAAATGACATACAGATGGCATTGCCCTTCACTGCGAATCTCTGTCTCGCGTTGTCGGCTGCACTGTTACTCGACGGGAAAGGCGCAGGGGGTGGCGTGAGAGATGACTGAGGGTCAAGCTCTCCTAGTTGCATCCAAGGGATTGCAGGAGTATCTGAGTTGGATCCCATAGTGATTATAGTGAAGTCTTATTCTATCAGGTAACTAAGTGATGAGTGGAGCCCAGGTTATAGAGATTTAACGACGTCGACTGAGATGATGAGAGTGGGGTGAATGTTTGATAACTGGGTTCTGGGTATCAACTCAAAAAGGCAAATTATGCGCGGTGGTTCTAGGGTGTTTTCTTTTAACCATTAAGGTGTCTGCTTGAACCTACTACTGGTTCTCGGCTACCTGTCGACCGATGGGGTTTGGGGTGGAGTGCAGATGCACCGGGCTAAGCCCCGAGCGGGAAGATTGGATGCGGGGACTCCGGCGGGATGCGGAGGTTGTCCGATTATGTCCGAATGGCCACCAATACAATGCTTCGGTTGTCTGTCGCCCGAGACCTCTTCTGCCTTCTCTTTATCCGTTGGAATGAAGTCAACAGGCTCGCCATGAATGATTAAAGCTCGGAACGGGCGGAGTCTGAAGCAGATGATCAAAGATGGATTCGAAACGCCAGCTTGATCGCATGTTGTTGGTTCGACGTTTGTGTACTCAACCAACCCCGGATAGACTTCATTGGTTGGAGGACTTGGTCGGACCACAGTTACCCGAATAAGTATATCATGATGATTGAGATCAACTCCTGGCTCCTTCTAAGAGAGTGGGGCAACCAGGTTCAAGTTTCAAAGGACCAGTATTTGTTGGTGCGACCCCGCCATATCTGGTCGCGTGAAGTGAAAGAAGAGAAGCAGCAACCATCAAGGTAGATACCGTTCCAAGGAAAAATATCTTAAAAGGGTATGGGGTACCTTTCATTCTTCTAATTGTCAAGCTTCAACTTTCGATACTCCCGGTTGAACCAGACTTGAATACTTTTCATTTACTGCGGTTGTTACCTGTCACCTCTATTCAAGATGTCTATGAGCGTAGCCGAGTGTGCCCCGGTCCGTGAGGGATACCCTCGCCCGTTCCCAAACACACCAACAAATGTGTTGGCACAGATGCGTCTGAGCGGAAAGGTTGTCGTGATCACAGGAGCTGCAGATGGTATCGGCTACGCAGTGGCTGAAGCCATGGCTGAAGCTAATGCCGATATTGCCATGTGGTACAACTCGTAAGCTATGCCTTTTCTAGCATCGGAAACAAGATTCCACATCCAACAAAATCACGATAGGAATGATGCAGCCGTTGCGAAAGCGCAAGCACTGGCTTCTGCTCATGGGATAAGAGCTATTGCTTACAAGGTCGACGGTAAGGGTTACTTGTCATGCGTTCTAAAAGGCCTGGGACACTAATATTCCCAGTTTCGGATGCGGATGCCGTTCAACAAGCAATTGCAGATGTCGCTAAAGACTTTGGCAAGATCGATGTTTTTATCGCAAACGCCGGTAAGATGCAATTTCTGTCGCACAGTGCATTACATCGCTAACATTCTAAACAGGAATGGCTATTTCCAAGCCTCTCCTGGAGCAAACGCTGGAGGAATATCGGAAGCAGATGTCGGTGAACGGTAAGATACTTCCTCCTTTGCTGTAAACTAGATGCTGATGAGGGTATACAGTCGATGGCGTTCTCTACTGCGCCAAATATGTTGGAGAGGTATTCAAACAACAAGGCTTCGGTAACCTGATCATCACCTCTAGCATGAGTGGTCATATTGTCAACGTCCCCGTTGATCAACCCGTCTACAATGGCAGCAAGGCCTTCGTGACGCACTTTGGAAAATCACTTGCTCGCGAGTGGAGAGAGTTCGCCCGTGTCAACATTGTCTCTCCTGGCTTTTTCGATACCAAGATGGGTGCCAGTCCGCAAACGGTCAACGAAGCCTATCGAATGGCGCCGCTTGGGAGACAGGGCCATGTGAAGGAGATTAAGGGATTGTATTTGTATCTCGCCAGTGACGCGTCTACATTCATGACGGGCAGTGATGTCCTCATTGACGGTGGTTACGTGCTACCATGAGTCAAACATGCTGCCACTTTGCTGCTGATAGTACTATTGATAGTCTGTTTATTTATCAAGCTGGATGCTATGTGATAGACTAGTTCTAGCTAGTGCTCCACAATGTTTGATATATTTGAGAAATATATTTCGGCTGGACCATTACTTACCACTGCTAGTTTCGAATGGCAGAAGGACGTCGATTGCATTCACGTCCCCTAAACCACATCAGATGCTCGACTAGCAGTTATAGAATAATTTACTAAGCTACTTTAGAAGACAAATGTCAGTGCAAAACAGACGAAACAGAAGACCAAAAGAGTACTCATCGGCCAGCTGTGCATAAATTGTTATGATGACTAATATAGCACTAGCAGAGTGGATAATGTGTGGGCACGTGCATTGAACGTCATTGGGCCCAAAGCGGCAAGGCGGCGCAAATCTCGGTGATTATCAATAATTAATTCTGCTTCGGCGCTGAGGGGCAACAATTGAAGACTCATCCCGACTCATCCACTCTTCCCCATCTCATTTACCTTCACTCGCTCGTGTGGATTAATCTCTTCCACCCAGATAAATATTTACAAGTGTCAACTGGGATAGCCACTTGTTCTCCGATACCCAGCGGTCGCAGCATTTGAGATTGTGCCCCGCTTCGTCCATCCCACAATCATTTAACGACCTCTACACGACACTTTCTTTCATCGTGATACCCCTGCGTTGTTTCGCCGATTTTATTCAAGATGGACGGCCCTGCATCTTCCCTCCCCTACACCTGCAACACTTGCCTTGTCGCTTTCCGCGGCAGCGATGCGCAGCGGGTGCACATGCGCACTGACTGGCAGTAAGTTTCTTCATATAACCACTGGATAAGCCTACACGAACTGATCACCTCTGTATCAGCTTGTATAATATGAAGCGTCGCATTGCCTCTCTTCCCCCAGTCTCTCAGGAAACCTTCAACGAAAAGGTGCTTGCCGCCAAAGCCACCACCACTGCCGCGGCCGCCAAGGCATCGTTCGAGACGACCTGCGTCGCTTGCCAGAAGACCTTCTACAGCGAGAACTCCTACCAGAACCATATCAAGAGCTCTAAGCACAAGGCCCGCGAGGCCCGCATGAGCCGGGAAAACGCCGACGAGTCGTCCTCTGTCATGAGCTCCACCTTCTCCCTGGGAGAACCTATCAACAAGCCCCGCGTTGGAGAGTCCGAGGTTAACAAGGTCGCCGAGACCCTCAAGGATGCTACCATCAAGGAAGAGAGCAATGAAGACGAGGAGATGTCTGATGATGGATTCTTTGCGTCTCGTTGTCTCTTCTGTCTGCAGAAGTCGGACAATGTTGAAGAAAACACCGAGCACATGTTCAAGACCCACGGCATGTTCATTCCCGAGAAGGACTACCTCGTTGACATTGAGGGTCTTCTCCACTACCTGTGGCGCAAGATCAACGAGAACAGCGAATGCACCTACTGCCATATGATCCGCAACACCCCCGAAGGCATCCGCACCCACATGAAGGACAAGGGCCACTGCATGATTGCTTTCGAGTCTGAGGCCGAGCAGATCGAGATTGGCCAGTACTACGACTTCCGCAGCACTTACTCAGACGACGAAGAGTGGGAGTCCACCGGCAGCGAGACACATGAGGAAGGAGGCGTCAAGGTAGACGGCGAAGACGAGGGATGGGAGACAGACGCCTCATCCATGGACGAGGACGAGGACGACCTCGACAACCGTAAGCGCGCGCCCGTCGTCTACGCCACCGACTACGAGCTGCATCTGCCCTCCGGTCGCAGCGTCGGTCACCGCTCCCTCGCCAAATACTACCGCCAGAACCTGCACAACTACCCCACCGCAGAGGAGCGTGCCGAACGCCAACTTGCCATCGAGAACGGCGAGATCGAGGAAGAGGAGCCGAAGCCTCGTGGCCGCAACCTCAACCGTGCGCTTATCACCCGTGCCAATGGCGGTACTGGTATGATTGGAACGACAGATTCCCAGAAGAGGGACGTGATGATCAGCGAGCGCAAGGAACGCCAGAGAGCCATGCGACAAGAGCAGCGCTTCACGGCACGGGTCAACCGGCAAGCCAACCACCAGAAACACTTCAGAGTAAGCTTACCGCCCGAGATTGTTTTGATCTTCATGATACTAATGAGATGGTATAGGATCCTCTCCTGCAATGATCTCATACATTTCGTCTTCTTGCATCGTATGTTGATGAGTCTATGAATTATTTCAGGCTGTTTGTTTCTTGGGTTTAGTTTCTGCATTGCCGTGCTGCTGGCATCGTCTTGTTTATGGAGTTGTGGTTGGGTCCATGCACATACTTTATGATAAAAGTAGGGTGAATAGAGATTTTCTGGACATACTGCGTACAGTAGACACTTTCCTAGTAGAACCAAACTAGTCAACATCAGCAAAATGCCACGTAGAACCAGACAGCCTATCTACCGAAAGCCTGAAGAATAACAATCATCAAATCATGTCAAGTCGAGTTACTAATAATGAAGATAGAAAAAAACTACAAGACCAAAAATAAATATCTGTGCATCATCCGTGAATCGAACACGGGCCTCATCGATGGCAACGATGAATTCTACCACTAGACCAATGATGCTACTTGATATGAGATGTTGCATTCTATGCCTATATGACTGACTCATGCTGTGTATCGAACCCACCAGTCCGCGACAGCTATCTATACCATTCCACAAACCATTCATATTACACTACACATCCAGACTAGATCTGCTATGATGGTAATGATCATGATATTGAATGATACTCTGCTACCATGGACGGACAACTAAATGAATAAATACCACTCCAATAGCAAGCATCTTATCTCGTACGATAAATGTACGTAACGTAAGTAGTATATGGTCTCGGTTCTTTTAACACACACTTGTCTCGGCGATCTACATAGTATACGTAGGGAGATACAAACCCATATAATTCAGACTATATGAGTTTATTGAACTAGTACTTGGTACTTAGTGTTCAGAGTCCTTATGAGGTGGGAGCTATACCGAGAATAGATCAATTGAGGATATCATGTCATATTACATATTACCTATTAGATTGATAAGTGTATACTACGGATTAAAGCCCAGCTATGTTCCTGAATATGTTCAGGGATCATCCCCGTTCAACCCCTCTTCTTACGTATGGGTGGGAAGGAAGGTAGTAGACCTGATTGGAGGTGGAGCAGTAGCATCAGTTCAGGACGAGATGAGAAAGGGGGGGGAAGGGGAGAAGGAGAATCAAGTGTAATAGAAAGCCACGATGCGTGGTATCCCTGAATTGTTATCATCCCTATTAAGGGACCTTACTATATTACATACTATTATCCATCATGTGGGCCTGATCTCCCGTGGACTGACTCGGGGAATTATTTTGTATCATGGATCGGATGATTGAGGGTTTATGGTTGTATTCCTGGTTTACTACTATTCCTGTGGGTATAGTCGGCATTCTACATGAGAATACATAGCATGGCTGGGACGCTAGTTAGCGTATTATTCCCCCAGTCGTGAGATGAGATGCTAAACGGATAGTGACTCTTCCGTTATCTGTAAATGCAAGTAGGGGCAATAGGTCGGTGTTACAGTCTATGCAAGGACCTATCAGGAGAACGCCATTCCTTAAAGATACTACTGAACACAAATCTCATCTACACCGCCAGACCCCTCAATGCAACGACAAGTGTCAAGCGACCAGGTATTGGCACGCAGGGTCGGCTATGCATGGAAAATGAATATATGGTGGAAAGGAAAGAAATACATCGGTTCCTCGGAAGCATGTACATCACACACGACCAGCTGTTCAGTCGTACTTGTGTACAGGCTAAATTTTTGCAACGTAACAACAACTATCCACATGTCGCCCTGTCGCTCTGGCCAGCAGAACACTCGGAGCGTCTGAAATTATCTTGGTTATTGCGACAGTAGAGGGGTATTTTCGCCCGATTCCCCGTTCTTCGGGCCTTGTCCGCGCTTTCTGCGACGACGGCGTTTCTTATTTCCGGCGGACTGATTATTTCCCAGGTCGACAATCTCGCCTTCCTGGCGGACAGGGAACTCTGGATTTTCGCTCGTTCTCGGTCGTTCAGATTCAGATGAGCTGGTGCTTGTGGTATGGAGCACAACCTTGCGGATGCCGTTGACATCGACCACCTGCTCTGTGATGCTACCACTGCGAGCCGGGCCTCGGTGAAGGTAACTGCCCGGCTTGAGATGCTCGGATTGCGAGTCGATGGACCGGGCACTGCCGGTTCGACTGCCCGCTGACCGAGGGTGATCATCCTGTTCTTCATGGACCGGTTCGGGTATCGATATCGGGAGACCATCCTTCGTCTGAGTACCGGCATCGGCCGGCGGATTGGAGTGGTTCATCGTGCCATATCCCGCACGGACCGCATACACCCCATCACGGGCGTCCATACCGCTCTGTACAAGTCCGGCGCCGATACCGCCCTGCAAGCCGATGGAATTATGTCTAGGTTGTACATCGGACATACTCTGGCTGGATTCAAGATCGGTCTGTCCGGATCGGGATGGCGAGGCACTCCGTTTGATCTTCACATTCTGGTATCGAGTTTGGCGCGGTCGGCTGGCCAAGTTTGATGGACCCAGGTGCTTCAAATGCTGTCTGATCTCATCCGTGGCCCCACGATGCGTGAACAAGCCGTCCGTCGAGTCAGAGTTCTTATCCGAGGTGGGCCGACGGAGCTGGAACCGGGGCAAGGGGGCCTCTACGGAAAGCCGGCGATGGTCCTTTGGGGCCCCATTGGGCGGCGCAGGGAACTCGTTGTCCACCTCGACAAGAGTGGTCTCAGCCGGAAGCATGGGAGGGTCCTCCACAATCCGGCCCTTGGGAACGCGGGACTTGGGAGCAGGAGCCATACGGCGGATAGCCTTGTGCACATCCACGAAGACATCGGACTCGTCGATGATTTCCCTACGAAGTGTAAGTCAGCATTGCTCGGTCCTTTTGGGGCTTGTGTGGTACGTACTCTCCGATGAGCTCCTCAATCACATCTTCCAGGGTGACCACACCCAAAGCGCCGCGATCCTCACTCGGATACTCCGACACTAATACCATGTGGGACTTGCCCTCTTGGAAGAAGTTGACAATATCCAGACAGCTTGTCTCCGGGCGGGTTTCGGGAAGCGTGGCCAGAGCAAAGTCCCGCACGCGCTTGCAATCTTCGGGGTCATAGGTGATCAACATTTTGACCAACAGCATGCCGACGAAGTTCATCGGGTTATCCGGAGCGTGAATGGGAATACGGGAGTATCCCTGCGACAGAATCAAGTCCATTGTGTTTTCGTCCAGGATGGTGTCGGCGGACATGGTGAAGACGTCTTCCATTGGGGTCATGATGCTGCCCACTGCCTTGTCCTTGAGGTCAAGAACAGCGCTGATGATGGTGACTTCATCGGAGTTGAGCTGTTCACCGGCTTCACCCAAGGTTTTGTGCAGCGTCACCAGGGTCTTGAGACCAGCCTTCTTGTAGATGGTGCCGTGATCCTCACCCAACAGCTTATCGAGCAGCTTCGCGACCGGGTAGGCGACGGGAGACATGAGGTACATGAGCGCTAGGACACATGGAGCCATCCAGGCCCCAATGGGGAGACCGTAACGGACACATATCGACTGGGGGACGATTTCGCCGAAAATGACTAGACGCGACAGAGGGAATTATGGTAAGCAAGGATGCGAAGGCCAAGAAGAGGGATTTTTCGGGCATACCAATCAAGACGGTACTGCCGAGCACCGCAGGCCAGCCACCGCCAAGTGAGCGGTCGAGCACGATTGGAAGCGTCTCGTTGGTGATCACGTTGCTGAGCAGCAGGGTGACGAGGACCCAGTGCTTTCCTCGCTGCAACAGCTTCAGGACACTTGCGGCATTTTTGCGTTCGGAACCTTCACCGGAGGTCTGAATGACTTGTAGGTAGACTTCATCCTGTTTGGTGGAGAAAGGAAGCCATCAGCGTCATTGCACAGGAGCATGAAAAAAGGTCTGATTGTGAGATTGGAGTTACCTGTCCCATCAAGGCGATGGTCAAACCGGCGAACGCACCACCGCTGAGAACGAGGGCGGCGGCGACACCTAGGTACAGCCATAGACTGGGGTCACTGGGGGGTTTCGGGTCGACATCGGAGTTGATGATAAAAGTTGGGGCGGCGGAGATGACGGGCAGGTTGGCAACAGCCAAGAAGCAGAGCTTTGCTAAACCAAGGACGAGAGGCCGGGCGGCCAGGATACGCGTGGCAGAGGATATAGCCATCACCGAAGGGCAATGGAAGGAGGGTGGAAAAAAAGAAAGAAAAAGACAAGAAAGGCCCGAAGGCTACCAGAGGGGCATATTTGAGGAAAGACGACGACAGAGGAGAGAAAGGGTACGTACGAAATCGGGGGGCGGCTAAGCTGAATTGGGGGCGGGAAGACAGAAAGATGGATGGAAACGACGAAGTGGTAACCACTCCGAGTAAAGGTTCTGCTGCTTGCTTGCTTTGCTTAGTGGCTGGCGGCGTAATCGGAACAATTGATCAGTGCGGGTGGGTGAGTAGTGTGTCTGGCCACTGGCCACTGCGTGACGTCGCCTACTTTTAGCACTTACATTAGTACGTAGGGACTAGGTAGGGCTATGTCCTCCACCAAATCCATCCTTCATTATATCATTCTTTTTACTGGCTTATACTTGTTTTATTTCCCTCAACGAGGAGGATGGTGGAGGGTTCTCTAATTGATTGACAGGTTGGTGTCAAATAACTCACAATTCCTGCGTGATTATTATCCTCCCATCAATTGAGTCTGGTGCTCACTTCTCAGAGATAGCACTGGTCACTAGACACACACGTCTGACAAGTCCACACCCGTTTCTAGTACTACTTCTGAGCAGTACGGAGTAACTATTTCGAGGGCTCCATCATTTCTGCTACTGCGAAGGTCCTCATCTTCCCGCCTCCCGACGGATGATCCCGGAGGCCCCCATCGAGTGCTTCCCGGTGTCCAATGAGATCAGCTACTAAATGCTGAGGTAAGAGATGAGTCATTCTAGTCCAATGATTCTAGACTACTGTAACTAGTAAGGTAGTTGACTCGAATAACTACGTAGTAGATAGGTAGTAGTCATGAAGGCATCGATATGGTCAAGTGGTGATCTTCTAGCAGATACTGGAGATATGTTCTGGACTGATTATTAATTTGCAGCTATACATATGGAGGTCTAGTAGGTAAATCTTACAACTACTACTCCTGCAGCGGACTATATCAGAGAGATATAGACTTTGATTTTCTATG